TTCTCAACTGTACAAAGTTTCCGTGTTGCGGCGACAGCACACATGCAACCAAAACACTAGGGGAGGGACTTACACTATGTGGATAACCATCATGATAAGTGACAGCACACATGCAACCAAAACACTAAGGGAGGCACTTACACTATGTGGATAACCATCATGATATTATGTTCAGTTTTTATCAAACAGCTTATACCTTCTTCTCTAGTGTTGTAATTTTAGTCAGTAATTTGGGCAAACATCCACAACAAGCAAGCTAACTAGCTCACTTCTCTGATATCATGCCCAACCAAAATATGCAAGACATCACAAATCAGACTGAAGGACTGCTTCAAGTCATTTGGATGATTTCTTCTCATAAAGCTTATTCTCTGAAGTGCAGTGCCACGCTGACCACAAAGGCAGATGTTCCCGCAGAATGTACAAACAGATAATTTATCAATTATATTTTTGTTTTCCATGGCGCAGATAGTTTCTGTGATGTACAAAACTTAGTAAGAATGCTCTGTGACATAGAATATAAAATTAACAGGAAATAACCCAAGAAAATATTTCTAAATAGAAATCTATGAAGATTCTGGGGGTGGGGGACCAGCGGGGGATCCTGCAAAGATAACATCTCTCCATTCAGACTGCTTCACTTATTTTACTGTAACAATGATTAATATCACTCATTCCTTTTTTTTTTTTTTTGTACTCAGAGCAGCATCAACTCTAACTTACCTGTAATTCACTTCCCATTTAATAATTTTACTGCTGTTCAGCATGCTGTTGTAAACAACATCCATTTAAGCTACCAACCAAATGCTTACTCAAAGCAAGAACATTCATCTTACTTAGGTAGTTGTTACTTGCGGTCGTATTTTTTCTGATCTGTACTTAATCCTAGCTTTTTTATCTAGTGTGGAGGCCAAAACTGCGCCTTTAAGTTTATTTCTTCTCTGCAAATAAGTAACAGCAAATCCAGTGTTTGCTAACATAGGTGAGAGTAAAGTATGTGATCATCATACCAGTACTCCACATAAATGATTACTGTTATTGTGGCACTTCGCTACTGTTTGTTTTGTCTAAATATCTTGAATAAGACCAAAAATGCTAACACTTCCCCTCAGGCAACTCTTATCTGCTGCTCAAAGAAAATGCCTTGCAGTCTTGCTCAGTTTTTGTTTGTTCATATTTCCTCTAAGCAAGCTGGTCATAACATTCATTTCTTTTAGCATCACCTGCACCTAATACTCAAAAAAGAAGCTCTCAGCTGAATAACAATGTAACTCACCCAGAATTACAGATCAGGTTGCATAAAACTACTCTAGTTTTCAATACAACTAAGCTGAAGAAATGACATGTTTTATCCAGCTATATATTTATGTAATATTTATACAGTAGTTACTGAAATTTAGTTTGTCAGCAGCAAGTTACACAACTTCTACAATGTTAGCATGTGTGCCACTTTACAGAGAAACAAATAATGTACCAGGAGAAAACAAAACTAGTTAAATAAGGATATCTCAAATGAATAATTCAACATAGTTATTCAACAATGATAACATTAAGATATGCCCTGTAAGAATAAGTCTCATTAAATTAGAATGATGGAAAAAATTACTAAAGATTTTGGTTGTGGATACTATTATGCTTAATTGTTTTACTGTTGGTCAAAGCTCATAAAAAGGTAAAGTGAAGACTGCATTATGGTAACACCATAAGAAACAGGATGGTTATTTCATTTTTCATCACAAGATGATGGTATTGTTATTACTTTCCCTTTTACAATATTTAAGAGGTCTAGTATAATCCACTGGGATACGCAGATCAAACTCTAAGTTTTTGTTGATGTGTCAAGTGACATAATAAATTCCTGTTAACTGCAACTGCAAGACAAAAACAGTAAGAACAAAGACAATGATAACCTTGAACACCTGCATGCCTGAATATTACTGTCAAGTTGAAAAAGACTGAAAGAATAGCAGTATCTGTGTTCCTCTCCTATGGTCCTTGTTTGGGTTCAGATGGAAGACTGACAGGTAGAAAGGGTGTTAATCTAGTCTTTGTCTACAATGAAGACATAACTGTTTAAGATTTACCTCTTTCTTTCTAGCACGCTCAGCCTTTATTTTCTCATACTCTTCTTTTGCCTTCTGATTGGATGTTTTCTTCTTAAACTTCCCTTCATTCATAACTGACCTGTAAGAAAAAGTACATGTACTTCAGATAGGGACCATCCCCAAGCAGACATGACCATATATCCCATAGCCACTGCAGAATCAGAGCACAGCCTTCCACTCTTGCACTGGTTTTTGCATATTTGAGGAAGTTAATTAGAAACACAGATTTCATTCTACACTGAACGGATACTTATTTGCATCACTCTTAACATGACACCCAACACCATTACATGTCACGTAATGAGCAGCTAGCATGAAAACACAGCAAATTAAACTCCTTCAATGCCGAGTGTACCGAAGACTGGACTGCACACAACTTTTAGTAACACATATCCCTGATCTGCTGGATCTTCACAGGGATGTTTCATGAAGTTTAAGGAATATCTAAAAGAGTTTTTTTTTCCCCCATCATATGAGCTCTTCAGAGCCAGAAAAATCGAATGCACTAGCTTAGAGCTGTATTATCTCTTTCCAGTTCTGACACAGGGATGCAACTGCAGAGATACAAGGACAGCCAGCTGTTAGCCTGCCAGAGAAGTCAGGCTGACATGGCAAAGTCAAAAACCACAGCAGTAACAGCGCCTTTCTAAAAGTTTCTTCTTAAAAGACATGGCATATTATTGTCCTTAATGTTCTGAAATTAGGAACTGAAATTATGTTTCTTCTGAATTTCGATACAGAAAACTGCCCAGGCATTTTTCACTGAAGAAAACAGTACAAGAAAACCAGTGCCCTTTGTCTGGCATTTACTGTCACACTACTTTGAGTGTTTTTTTCTGGTTATTTAGTTCTAAATTATTTTTTTTTCTGATTCTCAATAAAGCCATTACATAGTGTGGTAGCAAAGACGTTTCACACTTGAAAAACAGACGCCTTCCTAGATATTCAACAACTGTTCACAAAATAAGTTTTTGATTACTCTGTTACAATCATCATCTAGGAGATTTCAGACAGACGATCAAAAAGGAAAGAGAAGGTATTTGCTCATACTTTCATTTAGAAATACCACTCTGCTGGAGAAAAGGAAAACCACCTTTGCTTTATTCTCACCTCCATCTCGTGGCACTGCTGTGTAATAACACCCCATCGTCTCAAGTATAGAACTACTTAAAACTGCAATGTACGCTACAAATAGAATCACCTAACGAAAGTCTTATTTTACATTTCCATACAACACTAACACCTATCTAATAGACTCTATGCATCACAGATTAGCAGTCACATTTTTGCAGTATTCTGGTTTACAATCACAATGACCATAGTTTAAGAAAAATTAAAAACCCCTCTCGTTTAAAGAAAAACAACAGTTCTATTTCAGACATCCCCACGAATGAGCTGCCTATTCTGGACAAAACTCTACCTTTCTCCCACTGCTGCCCTTAGATCTGGCTGCCTTTCCCCCATCTCCCGAGCAGGAAAGTTTAAATGTAGATACACCTTGGAATCCAAACACTTAGGACACTCCTTGAACTGAGGACAAAAGGGCATTATCTCAATCACTGTACCTGAATGGTGTTTAAAAACACTGCTACGGCAGTGTTAGACCTGCATGGCTATACTTTTCATTTTACTGACATACGTAACCAAGATTTCAGGGGGAATTACTGTCACACAGGGAAAAAATGGTTCAAGTTCTCTGACATTTGTTAGACTGCAAGTGAGAAACTCCATTTGACTTCTCCCAGTTATTGTAAGTAAATTTAAAACAACACAAAAAACCAAAAAAGCTTAAACACCACTGGCAAACTATTACGACATCTCTATTATTTAAAATTATGACTTTGATCGAGAACACTTCACTGCCTTAAGGTTCTACTAAATCCTCCATTTCATTTTTTTTTAAGTTCATAGTTAAAATGCCCCTAAAACTAGCCATACCACAGAAGGATAACTGCACACAATACCACTCATTCTAGCAGAAAACCAGTGCAACATGAAGAAGACAACTTATCAAACTAGGAACAGAAAGATAATGCAAAAAATGTTTCTGAAGATGTAACATTAACTTAAAAATACTGAGAATCAATTCAAAGGAAAACTCTGTAGACTCAAAAGCACACTACCTGAAAAGCAGGATCTCATCTTTGTGGATATGGTAAGAAATTGTCCAAACACTTACTGCTCTTGGGCTGAACCTTATGCTTAAAGTACAATGGTAACTCTCATATTATTTCTGTGGAATCAAGCCCTAAACACCACCAATTTTGCTTTCTGATTCTGATGCAAACACAACAAACCTGTATGTTTAAATTTTCTAACAATTAGGAAAAACATTTAAGACCTAATGGCATTTTTTTAGTAAAGCAGATCACCATACTGAAGTCCACATACTGTTAAGATTTAAAATATTTCTTTAATGATGGAAACAATTACTTGGTTTTAGAGACATATTAAAAAAACCCCAAAACCTTACTCTACTGCTTTATTAAGATTTTCTTCTGGTGAAACTGAATCATCTGGAGCCCTTGGAGCCTTGCGTCGTTTTTTCAGCATTTCTTCCTCGGCTAGGTAAAGATGTTTCAAGTGCTCTGGATAAGTATCGGTAAACTGATCATCCTGTTGTGAATGGACCTTCCTTTCCTTTTTCAATAATTTCCTGTATTGTCTTTCAATCTTTTGTTTTCTCCGAAATGCAAATCCTCGTCCTGAAATCGTAAGAAAAAGGCAGTTAAATACACCTGCACTGAAGTAGTACCAAACCGTGCAATTGTTGCCAGGACCATTTCAGTCCATTTTCTCTCCAAAACAGAAAAAAACACTACTTGTGCTAATTTTAATATGGACCAGTGAAAAATTTAAGGAAAAAACACTGTTATAAATCTGTTCCCTATGGCAGCATTGCAGCTTGTACAGATCTACTGAAAATTATTGCCTAAACCCTTGAAGGAACATGCCATTGCAAACATATTACTTAATGCACACTCAACATTTTAACCTTTGCCAATACTTTTTGTATCCAGTGAAAAGATGTATTGACATTTTATTTGTTTCCTACTTTTGACAGCTTCATAAGGAACACCAAAATAGATTACAAAAGAGATTCCTAAAGATAGTCTGAAGAAGACACTGATAAGCGTAATATTGGCTGCTTAAGTAGTCTGCAGCTGCAATGCCAAAGGAAAAAAACAAAGAGTCACTAAATCACTGTATTATACTATATAAATATTTTATCTTTTCATACAAACAGTATTTTCATTTCTACTACTTTCTTTCTACACTTGTCCAGGAAGAGCTTTTCTACAACCTCAAAAGTATGCTACATCATAGAATGATTTAGCCTTAAAGTAAACATCACATAATGATTATTTCATTCTCAATCATTATATAACCACTTATCAATCAGGTTTTTTTACTAATATCTTAACATGTTTTTTTTATTGCATTAGTCTTAAGAACTACTGACTTTTAAAATATTCATTAACGAAGCAGTGTCTAAGGGCAGCAAGTCCATATTAGTCCTAACTTTTCCTTTGATTCTTTCTCCAAAGTTGAAACTTCAGAAAAGTGCTGCAAAAGCCGATGCTCTTTTTTCCTATCAGTTCATTTTTACATCTGCTTAAATACCCGTCCGTAGTCTGAACCTGTTTCCAAATACGCTTCTATTTTAAATATACAGCTTCAGAGAAAACTAAAAGTGAGTCCCAAACCACAGAACCATCACTGCCCGGCTCCAGCACGCCACCGAAGAGCAGGCTCTGCAATCCCGAGGTCCGGGAGCTCCAGCTCACACAGGCCGGCCCCAAC